TGGGTTCGGGCTTAGGGTGCGTTGCGGGGCCTTCAAATGAGGCAAAGTACACACTGTTTAGGGTTTAGGCTCCCTGGGCCCTAAACCCTGAAGCTTAATGGCGGCGCGGCTCAGAAGACGATCGTATGTCTGAGAGGCATCAGGGTGTTTAATTGAAAAGCCGAAAGAAGTGGTTGGGACATTCTGCCTGTGACCTCTCTGACTGTTGGCAGTTGGTAAAAGGTGTCAAAAAAGCCTTGTAGCTTAACTATATGGGTAGTTCTCTGAATCAGGGTCCCTTTTGGGGTCCTTTTTATAAGGGTGCCGTACTATATTGGGGACCTAAAACGGGACCCTAACTTAGAGAACTACCCACATCTTAGCTCTAAGTCCTTATTTTAGGCTACGTAGCCCTGCGACGAAGCGCCCTATCCTAAACCCTAAACCCTAAACCCTAAACCCTAAACCCTAAACGCTAAACCCTAAACCCTACTCTGAGGCCTCTGGACATCCGGGGCAAGCTTACCTTGGAGAACCCCAACGGGCAGCAGCTGAGTATCCAGGCAAGGTTCCAGTTTAGGGTTTAGGGTTTAGGGTTTAGGGTTTAGGATCATATCATACGGGTTTTCTGGTGAAGTGTGAGAACTGATGTATCGTAACGCAGCTTAGTGTAATGTAATGTATGTACCTGGGTATGTAGATACACACATCCACCCATACCTACATGTATGCATAGATGCATACAATACCCACAAGCTATATCAGGCTATATCTGCATCTATATCTGTACCTGTATCTATAATGTAAAGTGTGGCACTGACAGTGCCATCGAGAAGTGCTCTAGTCCTGAATGTTTGGTGCTATTCGGAACCCGGATCTGTGATTGCGCTCTCTCGATCAATCTGTTACAGCAGCACTATCGGAATAGCATTGGCAACAGTAGAATCACAACAAAGGCAGCAGCAGATTTGACCGCAGCGGCAGCCAAGTGGCACCCGCAGCGTTGGCTCTCCTCGCCGTCGTTGTCATCGTCTGGTGGTTGTTGCTGCTGCTGCTGCTGCTGCTGCTGCTGCTGCCGCTGCTGCTGCTGCTGCTGCTGCTGCTGCTGCTGCTGCTACGGCTGCTACGGTTGCTTTTGTTGTTGCTGCTGCTGCCGCTTTGTTGTTGACGTTCGCTTATTGACTTCGCGGACGGGTGGGGTGGGGTGGGGGTTGGCAGCAACGGGGCAGGATGTCTACGTGCCGAAGACCCTCCTGGTTGCAGCGAACATCTACTTGGAAGCCCGGCAACACCAGTGTACCATACAATACATGAGGTGGCACCCAAAAAACCTACACCCTAAACCTATGGATCCTCGCCTGGCTTTTCCGAGTTGTGAGAGTGTAAACCCTAAGCCCTAAAGCCTGTGCAGACCGATTGTAGGTGGCCTCTGGCCGCCCCTCAACATGAGGGTTTAGGGCTAGGGTTTTTAAAGGCACCATACGTGCCTAAGGAAAGAGCAGCACAAAAGTCACAATGAACCAAGACGTGGTCCTAGGTCCCATATCGGAAATTTCTGCCCAAAGGCTAAGCCTTGCACCGACATCCTCAGCCCTAAGCCCAAAAACCTAACTAAACCCAAAACCCTATCTAAACCCTGAACCTTAAACCCTAAACCCTGTAGACCCCAAACCCTAAACCGGGCTTCGTCCTAGCTAAGTGGGAGGCAAAAAATCCTAAACCCCCAAAATCCTAAACCCCAAACCCCCGCCAGAGCAGCTGAGATGACGGCGGTGTTTACTGCACTGGGCCTGATCACACGACCACGCAGTGGCCGAAATGCCTTGAGCCATGGATGAGTTCAGTTTAGGGTTTAGGGTTTAGGGTTTAGGGTTTAGGGTTTAGGGTTTAGGGTTTAGGGTTTAGGGTTCAGGGTTTAGGGTTTGGGGTTTAGGGTTTCGGGTTCAGGGTTTCGGATTCAGGGCCCGGGTCTCGGGCAGTTATGGGGTGGGGAGTCCGAGTAAGGTCTCAATGGCGTGGAGTGGGGTTGGCGGGGAGCTCCTCCCGGATTTGGTCGGTTTAGGGTTTTTGCGTTCAGGGTTTAGGGTTTAGGAAACTGGAATTTATCGGCTCGAGGGGCCCCACAAATACCAATGCTGCAGGCCAGGAACGGCACCCCGCAAAGCCCTCACATGGCCCTTACATAACCCTTACATAGCCCTTAAATGAGCCTTACATGGCACTTATAAGGCCTTACATCCTTACAGGCCTGACATAGGCTTTGCAAGGCACTTGCACAGCCCTCGCTTTCGTGGTACTTGCATTTTCGATGAACCCCACTGTTGCTGGTATTTGCTGGCACGCGACAAAACCAGATCTTGATCCCCTGTGGCCTTTAACCCGCCATGAACACTTACATAGGCTGCACGAGCCAAGCCCCCCTAGTGCTTACATAGGACTTCCTTGAGCCGCCTATACAAAAACCTTGGAAGCTGCGGCCTAGAGGCTGGCAAAACACACTACCCACCCACTAACTACCCACGTGAAGATTCCCTTGATTAATATGGGTTTGGGGGTTTAGGGTTCAATAAGCTTGGTAGCCGCGAGCTTTACGAAGCCCTGAACGCGGAAGGCTGGGCTTAAGCTCTAAACCCGAGATCAACTGCTATTGTAGGTGGATGATGTTTGAGACATGAAGGCCGAAACGGTGATTATGATGCCGTTCTGTTACCAAACACAATGAAGGGTGTCGGTGTCGCTGGCATAGTCATACATGCCTACGTACGGTGCGCTGGTGTGGCGCATGCCGCGGCCTTCAACAATCATGGGAGTACATTTTTTTTGCTTATGAGCTCGCAGATAAAACAACATTCCGTGACAGAGAGAGGAGGCGCTCGTATCTAGAATCTAGAGGTACTATATTCCTTAATTCTTATAGTAATTACTCTATAGACACCCTCTAGAAACCCTTATAGATCCTCTTAAGGAGGGTCGTACCCGTTCCCTTATGTCGAATGCCCAAAATTCAGTACCGAACATTCGACATACGACTTGCCTGAGGCACTGCTTAGCTCTGACGGTCATTTTCCTCCGGGGTGTCTCGCTGCTGTGCCCCGGCTTGGTTCTGGACAGGGGGAGTCGAAGCTAGCGACCTCGTACTTTCTTTCCGTTTCAGGTTCTCCCCCAACCCGAAAGCGCCGAAACCCTAGATGCTAGACTCTAAACCTAAACCCAAAGCCGCTTGAGCCTTCGGGATTACATGCCGCATAGGGGCCTGGGGGGTTATAGGGTTGTTGGGGTTTCGGACTTCGGGTTTAAAGATTCAGGGTTCAGGATCGAGGGAGCCGGCCCGATGTGAATGGAGTAACTCGTAGGGAGAGCCAGGCTGCGTTGGTTGGATTATCGCATCATCGCGACCACCGGCGTCGAGTCCTCCGCCGTAGCTACCTGCCAGAGATTACGTCTTGAGTTCGGGTTTCGGGGGGTTTCGGGATTTGCAGAACGTGCTGAGTTTGAAAGAGCCGTCCTCCTACGTGGCTTCGAACCACAGAACAACAGACACAAATCGAAGCTCATGGAACCCTCCAGCTTCTACTCCAAACCGGAAATCCAGAGCCTCAGAGGTTGTAGTTCTGAAATCAGGGCAAAGGGTCAGCCGCTCTTCGTCCTCCGACGACTGCTGCTGCCTTTGCCGTTCTAAAAGTCCTATCAGCTTCCTGCTTGCCCCTAAACCCTGAACCCCTAAACCCCTAAACCCCTGAATCCTAAACCCCTAAACCCTAAACCCCTGAATCCTAAACCCTGTGCCCATTCGCTCCGTTAGTCCGGCTGCAAAGGACATCACCTGGAAGCTGCTTTCCAAGGTCACGGGGCACGTTTTAGGATTTAGGGATATCCTGAACTCTAAGCCCTATGGCCAGGGATTGAGGTTTCAAAGTTCCTGCTGAAGATGAACGACCCATTATTTCAGTCATGCCCACCGCTGATATGCGGTGCTTTAGACATGTGCGGCCGTAGACGCTAGCACGCCGAGCACATGCGCCCATCTGCAGATAAATATGTAAAGGCGTTTGTGTGCGTGTATCTATACACACATACACATACGAATGATGTATGTGCATGCTCACGCAGGCGAGTGAGTCGATGTATATGTGTGTTGATTATTATTCGCAAACGTCCGCTTCCACAGGCTGCAAGGATTCTAGAGGTTCGGCTGGCGGACGTCTAGGCGTATTCCCTGGGCTCTCAACTCTCAAACCAAACTTAAGTTCGCAGATTATAGTTTCGGGAGTGTTAAAGCTAAACACCTCAGCCCTTCTCATCGGGGCTTTTGTGACTCCCTCGAGACTCTCTAAACCCTAAACCCTAAACCCTAAACCCTAAACCCCTAAACCCTAAACCCTAAACCCTAAACCCTTCGGTATCTCTCGGTTCATGTAAGGGTTTAGGGAAAGTTCAGCGTTTGGAGGGATCTGCAGGGACTGGAATATAGGGGGCAGCGTCTAGAAGTTCCAGGCTGCTTAAACCCAAACCCAAACCAACCCTAAACCCTAAACCCTAAACCCTAAACCCCTAAACTCCCTAAACTCCCTAAACCCTAAATCCTAAACCCTAAATCCCCAAACCCCAAACCCCAAACCCTAAACCCTAAACCCTACACCCTAAGCCATCCTGCCAGTGGTGAGTTTCTTTGTATTGTGCATGCGATCCGTTCTTGAGCTCCTGTGTGTAGACCAAGTTGCAGCTCCTTCGATGCAAGCATGGAGTGGGGTTGAAAACAACTCCTGGCCACAAAGAGTTTAGGGTTTAGGGTTTAGGGCCACAACTAGACCAGAGACTTGGGGGTTTGGGGTGTAGGGTTGAGGGTTTGGGGTTTGGGGAGGCCCTTTGGAAGTCACGGCTTTCAGCGTAGATCGAGATGAGCAGGTGCAAAACATCTTAGAGCTCATGGCCTTTCTGTTGATCTCCTTGGGCTGGAAGGCGCTGGTGAGCTGGTGGGCAATCGAAGCTTTGGGTTTACTGTAACTTTCACTGTCATGAGTCAGTGAATGGGGCGCTCTTGAGAGTATGTTCAACACCATTTCCGGCATGATGTGTGTACCATTCAGTTCAGCTCTTTCTTTTCATGCCGTCACGATGGAAAGCGACAGCTGTCCTGGCGTGACGTTTTTGCAACAACGGAGGTTTAGGGCTTCGGCGCTCAGGGCTTTGGAACCATTGCTCTTCGGATTCCGGGTTGGTAGCCAGGGCTTTCGTGTCTCGGAGTCTTTTTATTTGGAAAGTGAGGTTCGAGTACCGGCATAGACTTGGGGGGAGAGCGGTTTCTGCAAAAAAGGACTCGTGACGTGCACCCGCCCTCCCCTTCATGCCTGCAACAACACCACGCTTGAGTACCGCTTCGGGTTCAGGGTTTTTCCATTGCTAGCCTAAGCCCTAAACCCTAGGCCCCCTAATATATCCAAGATGGTCTTGGTATGTCCGGTGCTGTCGAGCCTCGTTTCTTCTGGGGCTTTCACACTGCAGCCATTTTTGGGAGAGTTTAGGGAGGCTGAGGGTTTTTGTGGGTTGGTTCAGGGCTCAGGGCCTTCGGCTATAATGGGGGTTCAGGGTTTATGGGGTTTAGGGTTTAGGGTTTAGGGTCCTTTGTTGCAGCTGTGTGCTGTGGAAATTATTCGGTTTCTCCAGCAGGTGCTGAGAAGCAGCCTGGACGTGTCGGAAATCCGCTTTGCAGTGGCCACTCAGCTCTAGTTCAGTTATCTAGGTCCAGGAGTGCCGTTTAATGTGCAATCAACGCTATTCTTGCCATTATGTCTCCATTGAGTCATATATCGCACAGTAACGCCCAAAACTGGCTTTCGAGACCTACTACTGTCGCTCCCACTGCTGCTACGGCTACTGCTGCTGCGACTGCTTGATGCTACCACTTGTTGCGCTCGGAATACGCTGCCGCTGCTCCTGCTGTTGCGGAACAGTCGCTACTGTACTGCCATCACGCTGGCATTTTTCAAGCTGCCCATAATTGAGAACCGGCACTGCAGCTGTGACAATCACGGTTTATTTCAACCAGCAGGGCAAAAACGAGACGAAGAGCAGGAAGTCCTCCGTCACGGCGGGTATGTAATGTTGCATGTTCAAGTTGTTCGGAGCCAGAGGCGTGGTAAGGCACGGCGAGTCCAGCAACATCTCCAGCTGTAGCAACATGAATGGAACAATACATGTTGTGGGGCTTTGATTCAATCAATCGCTGAGACCACAAAAATACAGAGATTCTAATGTAACCTGTGTTGAGGTAAGGGCTTTGCAGGCAGGGGTCCTGTTGCAGGGAACCGCAGTTGAGGCTTCTCCAGCTGGCAACACAAGCGCAGCAAAAAAAGATGCTCAAGTATGGAAACAAAAAAGATTCCATTCCATGAGGCTGTCTCCATCATCTCCTTCTACTTAGGCGTCTTCCAGGCCGGCACCCCTTGCTTCGGGTTCCGGGTGTATCCTGATCACACATACGCAGGTCGCCAGCCAGAATCATAAGCACTAGGTCGTACACGATGCGAAGGTGATCCGAAGTTTAAGTTGCGGGGGTCTACAGGCGTACCAAGATAAACGCAGGTTCGTTTTGGCGGCGGACCAGGAACTCAGCAACTGGAAAACTTCTTGACTCTCCCTATATATAAGCCTCGGACTTGGGCAGGACCCAGAGAGCCCAATACCCATAAACTTCTTGACTCTCCCTATATATAAGCCGCCAGTAACAGTGGCCTCGACAAGTCGGGGTTCGAATTGAAAAGACTGTCAGGGAGCCTGCCGGGGTTCCTTTGCCGGGCCTGAAAGCTTCGATTCGCAGCTTTAAACTCTTAGTTAGGACTAGGGAGACCCCTTTAAAGGGGACCCTTCTCAACCCTACTTTTGGCTCTCTTAAAAGGGACCTTCTTGAGAGGGTCTACATCCCCAAGGGCCCCCCCAATCCTAACTCCTTAACTCTTAACCCAAACCCTAAACCCTAAACCCTAAACCCTAAACCCCAAACCCTAAACCCTAAACCCTACACCCTAAACCCTAAACCCTAAACCCCAATCCTAACTCCTTAACTCTTAACCCGTGGATCCGGAATTTGATTTCATGCGTAATTGGGGTTTAGGGTTTAGGGTTCAGGGTTTAGGGTTTAGGGTTTAGGGTTTAGGGTTCAGGGTTTAGGGCAATTGGCCATGTCTTCGGCACAGTTCTGCCACATTGCTGGTGCCATGTGCGTGGAGTATATTGTGCCCCCACGCCTTACAAAACCCAATTATGTAAACCCAACCACGAACCCAAGCCCTACGAGGTTAATGTAGGGGCCTTAATAATTAGAGTATGGTTTTGGGGGTTCCTTATCATAATCATCCCGAAACCCTAAACCCCAAAACCGTAAAGCCAACAAAATCATGCACTGGGTGTGCCAGTAGCCGATGTAGCAGTAGTGGGGCTTGTCCGGATGTAACAGGGCTGCCCAGGGAATAGCTGTGCGATTTCATGAGCCAGGGCTTCATCGTTCTAGGTCCAAGCCGCGAACTTCCCCAACCCAAACCTAAACCCTAAACCCTAAACCCTAAAACCTAAACCCCTGCCCTGTCAAACTTCCGAAACCCGAAGCGCTGAGCTACACCGCCACGTGGTTTCAGCCTGAGGTGGCGTGCACGACGCAAGCCACCTGCTCTGGATATCAGCTCAGCCGCTACATCCTTCACTCCCTGTGCTGCTGGGCTGACCCAGAGAGCTCGCTTGAATCCTTGATTTCTGGAATGTTTAGATGACAGAGGGCTGTAGGGTTTTGAGTTTAGGGGGTTCTCCTGGGGGGTTTAGGGCTCAGTGGGTGTACCCTCAACGCTAAACCCTTCGCCCTGAGCCGGAAGCCCTCTATCAGTGCAGGCTTCTTGGTGGTCATCGCCCGTGCCCCAGACTCACATCGGTGCTCAGAAACCCCTGCCGGAAACATAGAGGGGGCTGTTATAACTTGAAGGTTTCTTGTTGCTGCAAGGTTTTTTGCCGCTTAGAGGAACTTTGAGATAAGCTTTCGAGGCGGAATGCCTCAATCAAGCCCACACCCTCGTTGAGGAATAACTAGGTTAACCCCGGACCCGACGCTCTAAATACCAACCTCGAAGCAGAATCTCCAAAAACTCCAAACTCAGAAGAAACTCCCAAAGCCAAGAATCCGTAGGCGCTAGCCCTGAAAGAGAAGATGCAACCCTAGCTCCTCAGGAAACTCTCGTCCAGCGAAACAAAGCCAACAACAACAGGGTTGAGGGTTTTGAGAAGCTTGCTGCAAAAAAGGGTTTACGAACAAAGCCAAAGCAATGACAATAGGGAATACCAGGCTTCGAGCCAAAAGCAGCCGCAGCAGGCAGAAACCACCAGAAACCGAGGCCAACCCCAAACAAGCAGACACGCACTAAACCCTAAACCCTAGACCCTAAACCCTAAAGCCTAAACCCTAGACCCTAGACCCTAAGCCCTAAACCCCTGTACCGTTGCGAAGATAGGAGAACAAAGCCCTGAGAACGTAAGGTCTCTAAGGTAGAACCCATGGGCCCCTAGTATGGGCCCTTAACCCTGGGACCCTAATACACCTACTATATACCCTATATATATACACCCTTATGGGACCCTAGAATCCCCTAAGGGCCCATGTTAGGGGCCCATGGGTTCTACCTTAGAAAGGTCGCCATGAACTTTAACTTGCAGAAGTTGGCGGGTGCCATCTCCGAAGCACCGGCGACCGTGGAGCCTTATGGGTTTAGGGTTTAGGGTTTAGGGTTTAGGGTTTAGGGTTATGGGTTTCTCATAGTGGGTTTTTCTCTAAAATTAGGATACCCATTAGGGTCCCTTTTAGGGTTCCTTAAAGGGATCTATAAGGGTTTCTATAAGGGTACTGCAAGGGTTGAGTTTGGGTAGTTCTCTAAAATTCGGGTCCCTTCTAGGGTCCCTGTTTACAAGGGTGCCGAAGTATATTGGGGACCCAAGAAGGGACCCTAATTTAGAAAACTACCCATCTTTTGTCTTGCACAGGGGGTTCTGGGGTTGATGCATGTTCCACAAGGCGGGTTTCTCAGGCGTTGGGCTTTGATTGAGGGCCGAGATGGCTGGTCATAGTAGCACCATGGTCCCTAACACTATACACGATAGCTACAATATCACATGCCCTACACACTTCAACAACCCTAAACCCTAAACCCAAAACCGCATACCCACCAAAGTCGATTCCATTTGGCCTCGAAGCTCTCGGGGTTTTTAGGGCATGAGTGCTGCCCGGTTTGAAATGTTTCGGGCTTCTTTTGCCAGGATCCTTTGTCCCTATAGAATCAATGGTGCAAGGGAGTGAAGGAACCAGGGGGTAGTCCATCTTAATGGAGCAGCTAAAAGTCCTAACCCTACCCTGAACCCTAAATGCGGCTTCGTCCTAGCGAGGTGTGAGGCAAAATACCCTAAACCTCAGCTTCTTGCTTGGGGTCTGCAGCACTAGGCTAGGGGAACCCTACTAAACCCTGATCCCCAAACCCCAAACCCCACTAAACCCAAAACCGCAAACACCAAATTAAGCCCTAAACTAAACTCCAAACCCTGAACCCCAAATGAAACCAGAACTCCTGAACCCTGAACCCCAAAACCCTAAACCCTCAACCCCAAAACCCAAACTGATGCCTTGAGAGCTTCCGAACGCCCCAGGAGAGCGGGAAGCTGTACCGGAAGCTAAGCGCCTACTACATTTTTCGGTGGGCCGGGCCCTCGCCGATATTTTAGGGCTCAATATCTCGCTTAAGTTCGGGGGTTTAGGGCTGAGGGTTGAGGGGTTCAGGTTTCAGGGTTTAGTGTTTGTCGAGTGGCAACAGAAGGGATGTTTAGGCGCACTTTAGGGTTTAGGGTTTGTGAACTGAGGTTTGAAATGCAGTACCACTCTAAGGCTCTGTCCGGGTCTTCCAGCCAAGCGACCCCGAGAGAAAACCTGCGATAAGGCGGGCAGCAGAGCTCAAGCAGAGCTCAGTTTTATTAGACCACCTCAAGCTCTCCACTGAACGGTACAATGCTAGCTCCTGAAACCGCACTCCTCCGCCCTCCAGTAGACTCAGGAATGCCTGAGAATGCAAGCTTTGCAGAGCAAGCTTCAGGTCTTCCTTGGCTTCATCATCGCTCCAACAGTAGAGCTCTTCCTCAAGGTCACTGTGGTTCCTTGGGATGCGCAGCTTGACAGGTGTTTCAGGCACTTGTATGTCCGGGACTTAGAGATAGAGGTGTTTGTGTGTGTGTGTGTTGTCGGGTCCGTTGCAACAGCGGGTGTGGCGGTATGTAGCGGGGACGCAGCAACAGGACCAGCGCTGCTGTAGCAATAGTTGTCCATGCGTGGAGCGCATGTTGTCCGCCAAGGCCGGTCTTTCTGTGTTCGGGTTGCCCGCATGTTCGATGCAGTTGAAGGCAATGTTGGTAAAGCACAGTAGACAGAGCCAGGCCAGACTCAAGAGGAGTAATCCGGAAGACCCGTACACCTACGCTCCATTCCTGCGGCATGTCTTCACAGGGATTTGAATCCCAAGCTTGGAAAATACCCTCTGACTTAAATGCGAAGGCTTGGGGACTTCGGAATGTGAAACCTTAAACCCTAAACCCTAAACCCTAAACCCTAAACCGGGGTTCTATCACACGAACCCGCCAAGTTTGAGGCAATGGCTGTACATCGCCATACAGGAGCTCCGAACATGGGCCCCTGGGCATTTGGGGGTTATCTTGGGGCTCGTTCTTTTTTGGGGAGCTTCATTGATTGGCTTTGGGTTTAACTTTCTATTCTGGAGCCCGAAGCCTTAAAACGTAACCCTCAAACCCTCAAGCCCTAAACCCTAAACCCTAAACTCCAAACCCGAACTCGCCGAAGGAAGCCGAACTCCGAGCCCGCTTCGTTGTCGGAGGGTTTAGGGTTTAGGGTTTTAGGGTTTAGGGTCGTTGTCTGAATGCTTCGAGCCGGAGTGTCGAAGTGTGAGCTTCCTCAAACCCTAACCCAAGACCCTAGCAACCGTATGTACAGTAACCCGGCTAGAACACGTAGAGTAGGCCTTATGGCAGCCCCTATAGAACCATTATCAAAAGGCCACACCCAATTTCACAAGAAGCCCTATGTTCAGAATGACTCAGAGCGACATGGGAGTTTCACACAATATCGAGCTAAAATGGCAGGATGCTCGTTATTCTACGGGCCTTCAGTTCGGCTCCCTCACACTCAGCAGCCCTCCCTCATGTCATCTGTGCCTTGAACCTACGCTCGTACACATCGGCGTTTACAGCCTGTCCCAAAATAGGCAGGCAGACAAAGCCATGCGGCCAACACGTTCGAAACACCTAGGCCCGTAAACTCCCAAGCTCGAAGACCTTAACTCGACTCATTACTCCCATCCGCCCGTAGCCCCCAAAACCCTGAAGCGCGGACACTGCATAAACCCTAAACCCTAAACCCTACACCCTAAACCCTAAACCCTAAACCCTAAACCCTAAACCCTAAACCCTAAAACCCTAAACCCTAAACCAATGATGAAGGCCCTCAGCTCTCAGCACCGAACCGAACGACGTCAGGCATTGCAAACAGGCCTTAGTCAGTGTGTAAAAGGCGGCCACGGTTTAGGGTTTAGGGTTTAGGGTTTAGGGTTTAGGGTTTAGAGTGTACATTTCGGGTGTCCTTTGGGGGATCCTGGTAATACTGAATAAGCGTAGATCAACTTAGATCCTATACACAACAAAACGCCCCACTCTAAACCATTGAGCCACGACCATACGCCTCGGCTGCACACCCGAAATCGCAAAACGCTACAACCCCTCGACCCAAGCTCCAGAGCGGTTGTACCAATATCGGCTCAGGCTTTAGGGTTTAGGGTTTTGCGTTTAAATTTAGGGTTTTGGGTGTAAATTTAGGGTTTAGGGTTTAAATTTAGGGTTTAGGGTTTAGGATTTAGGTGGAGTCAGAACCAGTCCAGCAAGCACAGACACTCTGCTCAGGTCATCTACGCACTGCTGATCTATGCCTTTCGGATGACGCCCGCCTCGCCCCGGGCAGCTTGGCTCGTTAAGGCTTACTATCAGGGCTATGGCTTTAGGTTTGCTGTAAGGGTTACTACAGAGGCTACTGCAAGAGTGCCCGTCTGCGGCTTTGGCCGGATCTCCTGGGTTTGTGTTTCAATAGGGGTCTAAATAATTTCAGAAGGTATTCCTTCGGATTTGATATATTGTAGTTATACGATACTAAGTCTAACTATTCGGGCTTCTATATTGCGAGATCTAAGTCGAGGCTTGAGAGCTTGGGATTTGACGTTGAGGGCTTTGGGCCTCTGGATTTTAGGGGTGATGGGTTGAAGGTGTGGAGATGGCTACTTTCGCGTAGCATTGTAGAAGCCCTAAACCCTAAATTCGGGTGCTTCGGAGCTGGAAGCAGGGCTTGTAGGGTTTAGGATGTAGGGGTAGGCTTGCAGATCAGGCAAATGATGGGGTTTCTTGACAGGGTTGAGGCTTAAAACGGCGGTACGGCTTGTAGGCTTGTCTTATAAAAGTCTTGGGCTTTTGTGTTTGGGGTTTAAGGCGCCGACAGACAGGAGGGCCAAACCGCGACCAAAATGTCGAACAGCCATTTTCCCCATAAGCAGGATCCGGGACAGGAAGACGTTGAGCTTAGTATTAGTAGCTCCGCAGTAAGCCAAAAAAGTCGCAGCTGGGGAAGCAACAGTCATGAATCTGGTCAGTTTTAGTGTTGGAGCAAGGCAGCTCGTAGCAAATCTTCTCGTATCCGGATGTCTTGCTTCTTCGAGCTAAACTTGTATCCAGAATAGGTCTATGCCAAAGCCCTCAAAGCCGCAAGGCCCTAGTTTAGATCTCCAGTCCTGAATCTGTAAAGCAAGCCCAATAAACCCATAACAAAAAGCCATCGCCCCCGTAAAGAGCCCAATGCCCCTGAAGCCACAGCCCTTAAAAGCCCTCAAAACTCGTAAGCTGCCCTTGAAAACCCGAAACGGCCCTCACAGTCTTAGGGACTTTAAAGGCCCTTCAAGAAGTTGAAGAACTGAAAAAACAAAAAGACTTAATGCCATCTTATTCGACACTTCAAACGCCCACCGAAGGTTTTCGAGCTCACCCGTGAAGTTGTCACCCCGCGCGAGGGCGAAGGAGGGAACGATGCCAACAGTGAGGCCGTGTGCTTTGGTGCGATATGGGTAGTTTTCTAATTTAGGGTCCCTTTTGGGGTCCTTTTTGTAAGGGTGCCGTACTATATTGGGGACCTGAAAAGGGACCTTAATTTAGAGAACTGGACTACCCATATGGAGTTTAGGTGCTTTGCGCGTAATTTGGGCTCTATAGGGGGTGTGGGAGGTTACGTGTTGTGGGTACTTTACCACTCAGGGACATGTTTGCTCTCAGGCCCAGAACTCAGAGAAGAATCTGCCAGCAAGTTCTGATCCATAGCCCGTAGCCCTCAGCATGGTTTAAGGTTTTGTTCAGGTTACGGCATATCCTAAATTTTAAATCCTAAACCACCCAAAAAAAACCCTGTACCCCAAACCCGGAATTCAGAACCCATAACCTACGATCCTAAGGCCTGGGTTTAGGGTTTACGACACCGCGCCGCCTGCTTGAAGGATTGTGGGACGTGGTAACTAGGGTTGTAAATAAGGTAGCTATATTTCGAAATGCTGAGGTAACTTATAACCCCAATAACTAGGGTTAGAAACAAGGTAGCTATAGTTCAACATACTGATGTAACTTATAAAACCCAATTAACGCACTTCTAGCCTTACTTACTAAGTCCCATGATCCCCCAATTAGATCCGAACGTCCGAAATTTCCTCCTAGATCCCTTATAGAGCCCCTTAAGGAGCCCTTTAAGGAGGCCATTCTAGGACCCCGTAACGAGCCCCCTTTAAGGAGGCCTCCAAGTTACTAAGCCTCCTCCAAGTAACTCCGTTTAGGGTTTAGGGTTTGGTGCTCAAAAGGGTTTAAACCCTAAACCCTGAACCCTAAACCTTAAACCCTAAACCCTAAACCCTAAACCCTAAACCCTAAGCCCTTTAGTATCCGCAGGCTGGCTCGGAGGAGGACATGCCGGCACCACCCTGGGCATGACTCTGGCGTGGCCAAAACAGACCGGCGAGCCGGGGTAATATAGGGGCCTTAATAATTAGGGTTTAGGAGGGTTTAGGGCCTTAATAATTAGAACAGGGTGTGGGGGGTATATTATACCATAGTTCTATTAAGGAACCCCGCAAAACCCTATTCTAATTATTAAGGCCCCTACATTCTGGGTTGGGGGGTTTGTATGGTTAAAGGCTTATAAGTTGAAGGCTTAGAATTTGGGGTGTAGGCTTCGGGGCTTCAGGTTGGAGAGGCAGGCACAGCTGCAAAGCCCTGCCTTAAAAAAAAGTTAGAAACCCTAAACCCTAAACCCCTAAACCCCTGAACCCCTAAACCCCTAAGGATTTCGGGCTGATGGTTGAGGCAGCTGGGGGCAAGCAGGGTCGGGCTTTGTGGGTTTGGTGTTTATGGAGTCCCCTTAAAGGGTCGAGTTTTCTCGAGGCCCGGAGGCGGAGCCCGCGACCGACGGCAGTTTGACAGGCGCGCGATATTCCGGGATTTCGAGGCTTTGGTGATTTCGGGGTTTAGGGTTTCATAGTCTAATGCTTTTAGGGATCTTCTTGCGGGTTCCCTACAGGAGCTATGACGGCTCCACAAGGGTTCTATAAAGGTTTTGGTCTCATTAGATGTGCGACGTGCGACAGGGGGCGGAAGAATGAGTAGTATTCCCGCATAGTCAGCTGCAACGGATGAACTACTACACCCCATAAACCCTACTATATCAATCAAGGCCCCTACACCCTAAACCCTTGTAGAAACTCGATAAGAATCCCGAAATCCACAAAGGAACCCTATTCTACAGCACCTTAGAGATCAGAGTTCAGGCGTGTGCTCAGAGCGCAGGCGGGACCTGTGAAGCTAGTGTAAACCCCGTGCCCTGGACCTTACTTGGAGGTTCATGGGTAGTCATAAGTGGGGCTGCAAGAAGGGCAACTATATTTTGTGCCCATATTATGGGGGTTTACAACCCTAAACCCTAAACCCTAAACCCTAAACCCTAAACCCCAACACCCTAAATCCGAAGCGATATACTCTGAATACCCTGGGCCCTAGACCCTGCAGCTTGAGATATATGAGCCGGCAGCGCAGTGCTTCGGATCGAGGTCCGTATGAGTATCGTCGCAGAATGTGAGTCTTAGGCCGCACACCCAACTCCATGGTATTCGACAGGCCCCCCAAGAGTGGCCGAGCCCCTAAGCTCGCGAAGCCAACATCCGGTTTTGGACCCTTTTGTGAAGCGGGGTGAACGGTTCTGGGCTTTCGGGCTTAGGCTTAGGGCTCCCCAGCCATGCCCTTTGCCACGCGCGATGGCGTGAAGATCTACTACGAGGATTCGGGTGGCCCAGGCCGGTGCGCGAGTATTGTTTTAAAGAGTTTTTGGGGCGTCGTTTACGACACATTTTACTATTATTTTTTCGGCTGTGTTTAATGAATGCTCACTGTAATATTTTGTTCGGTTCTCGCTTGCGATTGGTTGCTACTTGCCGGTGTTTAATTTAGTATTTCATTGCAGCCCGTTGTCCATCCGACTTGCTTTAAAGTTGTGGCCAATTGCTACTTTCCGCGCTTGTTCACAAGCAGGGTCTATACGTCTTCCTTTTTGTCCGTGCCTTTTGATTTGGGCTCCTAGCCATATCACCAGTACTACGTTATCATTGCTGCAACAATAGATACCTATACAGCTATTGGGGTGTCGGTTCTGGTTCTTTATTTATTTACTATTTTGGTTATTTCTTTTAGCGCTATCATTATGTTACTACTCTTCGTCGTTATGTCGGTTCTTGTTAGCTGGTGTTACTTGGCTTTTTGTTCTTATCTTCTAGTTGACCCTTGTTTGCGTAATGAGAGCAGTTGCGCATTACATAGTGTGTTTTTTGGCATTTGGCTTCGTGTACGTTTCCCTGTTTCTAGTACTACCCGCTCGTGAAGCTTTGCGGTCAATTCGAGTCTCCCCAAAGCCCCGGGTTTAGGGTTCAGGGTTTAGGGTTCAGAGTTCAGGGTTTCCTTCCCTTGGGCACCCGGGGTCTCTTCGTCTCCACTTTCCACGCACTGCTGACATGACCTGCGCCACCGTTGAATCGACATGATGGTCAGCACGGAGCCTGGTCATTGTCTAAACAACATAGCATAACAGCTTGAATAAATTTCCCATCTTCTTCCTTTAGGGTTTCCTATTGTAGACGTATTACAGTATACCCCAAAGCCTCATTCTAATTCCGCAGGCCCCTACACTAGGTGAGAAAGACCCGGCAGCTATAGTCGAAGTCGAAGTTGACCGAGTTCGAGTTGCTGGAGATAACTCAGAGCAAGAATGTGGAGTTGTCCCGCAAAAGATGTAGCAAGGGAATGTTGCCCCGCTTGCTACGTTTCTGACATTCCTGCCTGCCCATCTGGCAGTAAGGTTGAGGCTGGTTGGGCTTTCCGTGTTGATCTTCATTTTCATGCAACTGCTCCGGTCTACTGAGAAAGAAAGCTCTAGGGTCTCGAGCACCCGATGCAGTTCATGACTGTCAAACCCCGAGCTGGCCGCCAGTGACCCGATGCAGGCCCAGTGCTTTTCATGACGCACGGCTTCAGCGGGACAGGTGGCGTGGCCTCGCATTGGCGGGAGGATCATAGACAGTTAGTGGGTTCGAGAAGAGCAAGGTTGCACTGGTTGCACTGCGCACCACACCGCCCGACCGGTTCACCTGATTAGGCTGACTCACCACATCCTTGAAGCAGAGGTCAGGCGATGCTCAGCGCAAGCCAATGATGTAGCTATTACCCACAATCATACGGTTGATGATGTAAACCCTGCATTACCCATAATCAGGAATATAACATAACATCATCAACAGTGGGGTTGGCCTTGAGAGCGCTTCTTACAGTAGCTCGACCACACACCACGGATAGCCTTCAACGCCCAGAGCATGTCAGGTGAGACCTGGGGCGCGCAGCTGGAACTGTCAACCGAGTTCCGCATCATTCGTTGGGATATGCGCTCCTCGGCTTCCGAAAAACCCTAAACCCTAAACCCTAAGCCAATGGGTGGCTTGCTGCCTCATGAGGATCGCTTGGGATCCTTGCGATCGGAGCGACTTTTTTTTGTTCTCAGGATCCGTAGGACGGAGGGAGGGTTCAAGTGTGCTTCAGGGCCTCAAGAGCTCACCCTTCATCTTTGGTGGCTCCTAGAGCAGACGAGGATGAAGCAGCTCAGGCCAAGGGAGTTCTTCGTAGGAGTCCAGGTCCCCGGTTCTGAAGAAGTAACATAGAGGCATTAAAATTTTGGGGTTCCTTCTTGTTATAGTATAATATAATATACCCTTCTAATTATTAAGGCCCCTATAGTATTCCCCCCGGTTCTGAAGAAGTAGCATAGCGGCATTAATAATTTCCTCTTTTATTTTGGGGTTCCTCATTTTTGTTATAGTATAAGAAAACCCTTCTAATTATTAAGGCCCCTATAGTATTCCCCGTGCCCCTTCTATTCGCCGACTTGTCAACTCTGCCATAAGGGCGTGTCCTTGCACAGTAGGAGGGCCAAAAAGATCCTGTAAAAGTGAAATTGACTTAACCGTAAAGCCTTAACAGCCGTTAAGCTTAACCGGGAACCGTACAGCCCTAACAGCCCTTAGCCTTAACCGTAAAGCCCTAACAGCCCTTAGACTTAACCGTAAAGCCCTAACAGCCCTTAAACTTAACCTTAAAGCCTAACAGCCCTTAAACTTAACCGTACAGCCCTAACCGCACTTAAACTTAACCGTAAAGCCCTAATCGCACTTAAACTTGAACCCGGAGAAACAACCCTAAACCCTAAACCCTTAACCCTAAACCCTAAGCCTGTTTTGGAGGAGGTCACGGCCGGTCAGACAGTCCAGACGCGGCGGAGTTGTACAGCAAGCAGCACCAACTTCAGGACCCATGGAGTTTAGGGTTCGTGGGTTCGGGGTTTCAGGACGTATGAGGCCTGAAAGATAAAGGATTTTGCTGCAACTTTCTAAAGGCTGAAAGTTTAGGGTTTCTCGCTCAGGTGTGAAGTTTTGAGGACTTCCGAGGTTTTGAGGGTTTCAGGGTTCAGGGTTTAGGTGGCATTCGGGGTTGTTTCGGTTCGGAGGTTGGTGAGCAAAGCTCCCTGCTCGCTGAGTTTGTGCCACAATCCCGCTCAGCTGTCATATTGAACCAGCTCCGGGGCGTGCCGTGCGCATTCTGTCCAGCTATTGATGTGAAGGTTTAGGGTTTAGGGTTTAGGGTTCAGGGGTCAGGACAGACTCTACCCAAGCCCCTGCAAGCTTCCGATAAACCCTAAACCCCTGAACCCCCTAAAGCCTAAATCCCTGAACATCCCTAAACCCCTAACTCCGAAAACCGCCCTGAGCCGGGAGAGGACATGGAGAGTGTCCTGGATGACTGCGGCGTGACATCTGCCACCTTCGTCGGGCAGCCTGGCTGTACCGTGGAGGTCTGACCAGCCAGTAAGTTAGATAGCCAATGGGAGAACTTTTAACTTTTTGGCTTTATATAGTAGGTCTATCCTAAAAAGTTTGAACTTTTTTGGGCCTGGTTGTTGAAGAAGAGAGAGTAATCTTATCGCCATATAGCCCCGGCATGGTTCCAAAACTTTATTGTCCTTATGAAAGGCCCTCTTAAATGGCCGCACAGCTCGGGATGTCAGGGTGTCAAGGGAGGAGCTTCAGCGGTTCGGGTTCAGGGCATTCAGCTTTCAAGATTGCGAACAACTGGGCTTGCGGCTATACTTAGGTCCTCAATGGGAGGACTTTAAACTTTCTGGCCTTATATATGAGGTCTATTTTAAAAAGTTTGAACATTTTCGGGCCTGGTTGTTGAAGAAGGGAGTATAACATACTGTAGTGACTTCTGTGTTTGTCTTGGCTCGGAATCGCAGGATGATGAGCATTGTCAAGATCACTGCCCTTTGCGCCGCGAAATATGGGGGTTTCCGAAAATAGGGGACCCTAATATAGCACCCTAGATAGTAGGATCCTTATTATAAGGACCCCAAAATAAGGTACCCCCTATTTTCGGAAACTCCCATATTGCTAGCATTACTTGTTACGATTGGCTCGGCGGAGTCCCTGCTAATACTATTCAGTCATCTTCTTAAGACCCCCAGCTTCTCCAGGAAGCCCTCGCCGTCTACTATCCTTCAGTCCTTCACTGCCACCCTAAACCCTAAACCCTAAACCCTAAACCCTAAACCCTAAACCCCAAACCCTAAACCCCTAAACTACCAATTGTGCCGCAGGCATTCGATGGGGGGCTTCGACTCGCTCCTGTTTCTGCGTCTCGGCGACTCCCGGGCTTCGGAATACTTGGCAGAGCAATAGTATCCCAATTAGGGTTTAGGGTTTAGGGTTTAGGGTTTAGGGTTTAGGGATTAGGTATCCCAATTCAGTCCGTGTATGAAAATACAATAGTATCATATGCCCCCCCCGAAATGCTATGCTAATCACCACGGCCGCTGTGTTGGGCCAATCGGGCATGGGCGATATTTCATTCTTTTATAACTTTTTTTGCACCGTGCCCTTTTCGGATCAGGAAAGCCAAGGCATGGTTGTCTCTTCCAACATCTAGTGACTCTAGTGTGACTGCAACGGCTCGGCTTGTTTTTGGCTTAGCACAGCTGACTTCAGGTCTGGAGCTGTTCACTTCGCCTTGCGCGACCACAGTCGTGATCGCCGGGCTTGCGGAGTTTGCCTTGTGTTTCATGCGGCGGTGTACTGTAGTCCCCACCTGTGTACAGCATGCAATATATCGTAGTCGCAATCGTCTTGCATTCTATTGTTTTATTCCATGGTCACACGGGTAGTTCTCTAAATTAGGGTTCCCTTGTAGGCTCGTTTTTATAAGCGTGCCGTACTATTTTGGGGACCTGAAAAGGGATTCGAATTTCGAGAACTACCCGTATCGCATCTCGCAGCCCAGCAGTCGCAGCCCTGAGGCTCAGCAGCCCAAGCCGTGCCGCGCGGGTGCAGGCCTTGGTACTGCTCCCTGGTCGCCGAGCTTTGGGTTTTGGAGGGTTCAGGGTCTCAGGGCTTTAAGTAGGGATTAGGGTTTAGGGTTTAGGGTTCATGTAGGGATTAGGGTTTAGAGTTCAGGGTTCAAGGGCTTTAAAGTAGGGCTTAGGGTTTTAGGGTTTAGGTTTAAGGGATTTAAGTAGGGATTAGGGTTTAGGGTTTAGTTTAAGTAGGGATTAGTGTGCAGGGTACATGACCTACCCAAACTGACACATGCAAGCATGCTACCCGTAGTTTCGTCGTCGACCAAACGAGAAGGATAGGATGGCACTTGCCCCAAAGCCTGGGTTTAGGGTTTAGGGTTTAGAGGGTTTAGGGTTTAGGGTTCAGGGTTCAGGGGTCAGGGTCGACCAAGCCCAAGCTCAGGTTTTCATTGACTTTTTTCATGCAAATGCCTACGATTTCAAGGTTTGATGGGACCGGCAAAGGTAGCGAAGTTGATCCACCTCCGGAGTGTTGCGGTTCCACAGATTAGAGTTCGTGCCACAACGCACGGACTCTCATTCGCACGGCGAATCTGAGGCTCAGTACTGGCCCAGGATTTGCGTCCCTGGGCATGCAATTGTTTGAAGGGCTCCGGTGGAGGTCAGCGTAGGTTCTGTCTGAGAGCTGCAACGACGAGTTAGGCTGTGTCCGCGGCGACGACACCGACCAGTCTTACTGACCACAAAGCCTAAGAATAACGGTAGTGATGCCTGTGGACATGTCATGAGCCCCCAAAACCCTCCGCCCTGAACCACCTGCTATCGTCGTACTTGGAACCTCACCAGGCTTGTCCCAGTTGTGAGTGCCGGAACCACCTGCTGCGTGGGTTAGTCCAGGCGGAACTGCCAGCCAGGAGGCAAGGAAAACAGGCTCTGAACTCCGGAAGCTTTTTCACCCTCCGACCACCGTGATCCCCGAACCCTAAACCCAAAACTCCATAGACACCGCTTCGAGGAAGGCGGAGTCGCGGCAGCGCTGGAATAGTCGCGCCGAGGTTTTGGCTGCCGAATTCGCTGCGTAGCTCGGGCCGAGTGAAGGGTTTAGTCTTAACATCTGAGGGTAAGGATTGCATGTTTTGTACCCCATATAACGTTACCTGTCGCAATGACTGCAGATTCAGATTGTATTTGTCCGATCGTCGTCTGGGACATTGCCTGGCTCGTCCGACAGCGAGTGTCAACACCCTAAAAAGAGAAGCAGAGTAGCTTCCACTGTTCTCCCTCCGTTTGCCTCAAGGTGTAGATAAGTTATAGTTACAATTATATAAGTTATCGCTATATAGAAGTTATAGTTATATAAGGTATATTTGTATAGGTTATAGTTATAGAATACTGTACCCAAAACCCTCTTCTAACTAATTGGTAAGGTCACCATATTAAGCCCTATCTATGATTCGGAGCCAGCTCGAAAGGACGTATTGTTTGTTCGGTTTGCATCAAGCAGCTACGCGGCAGGAGCTCCTGTTTCAGAACCCAAGCTAACGAAGAGCCATGTAATCTCCCTATTTGAACTCTCCTTCCTGTGCTGCCCGGAACTTAACCTAAAACCCCAAATCCTAAATACTAGACTCCTAGACCTCAAACCTCACATTCCAGTTCATCCCCAGAATGTAGCCTTCTCCGGAGTTTTCGGTGGACCCATTTGCTGCCATGCGTGTTCCTCTTCTTTGAACTTGTTTTATAATTTGTATCCCTGAGGGGATGCTGAGCGCTTGGGTGCTGAGGAAAGGCCGAAACGCGTTGCCGAAGGCGGATCGGGGCAAGGCCAGAGCTGTTGAGTTTAGGGTTTAGAGCACTTCGTAATGTTAGGTAATGCTGGTCTTTCATGTTAGAACAGAATTGTGCAATTTAGGGTTTATGGTAGTTAGAGGTCGTGTTCTGGCAGCCAGCAAGCCCAGTTTCAAAAAATTGGTAACCAGTAATACTATTCCTGAAGGTCGCTACTATAAGTAGAGTATCATATGCCCACGAACCCTGTTCTGATTTACGCAGACCCTTCCATTCGATCCCTGATGTGGCCGCTGTTCAATCACATGAGGTTTAGGTGGTTCACAAAAGGTCGTACGTGCTGTGGGATTAAAAAGATTCCGTTATTTTGGATGTTGGTATTCCTACTGTCTATTCGAGTGAGGCTTTCACGTGACAAGCACTTATGCAGTAGTAGTAGTAGTAGTAGTAGTAGTAGTAGTCGTAGTAGTCGTAGTAGTAGTAGTAGTAGTAGTAGTAGTAGGAAGTTATGGAATTGGTTTTGGACAAAGTCTGGCTCCGTTTTCAGAGTGACAGGAGGGACGCTTTTGATCTCAGTGACAACCCGCAAAATGCGGGCACGCCTGTGACGAGGAGCAGCCCGAAGATTTAGTTTGCAATAGATGTCCCGCTCCCAAATTAAACACGAAACTGAAAGCGCCCCGCAGAGCCACAGCGACCGCGGCGTGCAAGTGGGCTTGGCGAATTCTGCCAAGATTCTTGGCATCATAAAGCTGGCTGCTTTTCGTCCTTCAAGGGTTGCTTATCATACTGGCGAGCCGTTTATGGTCTGCCAGTGGGTCTTCCTTTGCTTACGATGTTGTTTCGGTTGTGCCCAGAGGCAGGCATCCGGTGATCTGAAATAATGAAGCTCTTATGTCGGGAAACTTTCGCGTTTTGAGGTACATCTTCGCTCAACTGGAGGAGGCCGGGTCATTTCACACTGTGAAGGGTGGAGTCTGAAACCTAGCGCACGAAATTAGCTGGGCAAATGCAGTTCAGTACAGCTCGGGCACCCAGCCCCCAACAACACCATACAACTTGACCAGAAGGACCCGCTGCTCAGCACGATGCCCCACGGTGCAGCGAGTGTGCGGGGCTCAGACAAGCAGCTTCTCTACAGGGGTCGGAATTTATCAGTAACCGTATCCCCTCACAGTCCCTACTTAATCACATAGTTTCGTAGAAGGATTGTGGCTAAATCCCCGTGCTAATCATCGGGGCCCCTACTACCACACGGCTTCTTCAACAGAAGACCGCAGCGCCGCAGAGTCCTAAACTCGCATCTGCGCGTAGCCTAAGCCCTAAAATCAATCTCAGCACCCTAAGCCCCAAATCCCTGAGACTCTGAAGGCCAACCCCCGATGCCCAAGACCCCTAAACCCTAAACCCTAAACCCTTCAATTCTAAAAGCTCTACATCTCATGTCCTCGTATCGCTCCTCTATGTTCCACAGTGGGAGTGAGGTGTTAAGGGGGGTTTAGGGTTTAGGGTTTAGGGCTTTAGGGCTTTAGGGGTTTAGGGTTTAGGTTTAGGGTTTTAGGGTTTAGGGTTTTAGGGTTTAGGGTTTTAGGGTTTAGGGATTATTCAAAAGGGTTTAGGGTTTAGGGTTCAGGAGTTTAGGGATATTCAAAAGGGTTTAGGGTTTAGGGTTTAGGAGTTTAGGGTTTGATCTTCGAAGGGTTGGCTGGAGGTGTGCTACTTACCTCTCCAATACCCAACTTTCTGGGCTCTTATAATTTTGTAGTAATCTGAAGTTTAACCGTTTATTTCCTTGCCTTACTAGGGAAGTAAGGCTAAGCTTCATGTGTTCTTGGTGCGAGGACATTTCCCAGCTCGAACAGGTGTTGTGCTGCATATCTCCTTATCGTAACCCTGAATTACTATAGAAGGAAGCCTTAAACCCTAATCACCAGAATCCCTAGAACCCTAGACCCTAAACCGAAACCCTAAACCGAAACCCTAA